TATTTTTAATCTTTATATTTAATTTCTTATTCTTTACGAATTTCTTCGCAGATTTCAATAAAAAATCAAGAAAATCTACAGAAAATGTTTGTGAACAATGAGACATTACAGAAACTAATAACTGAATAAACTTATTTTTGATGATAAAAGTTAACTTTTAATTTCTCACACTTTCCCTAAACAACTAATTAGTTTACTGTGTAATTTTTGTTACATTTTGTTGTCGCAAACTTTTTCGCGTTTTCGCGAAAATGAATAAAGCGAAAATGCGAAAACGAAGCAAAATTTTCGAATTTTGTGAATTTTGTATTGCGAAAATTTTTGCGCAAACCATATGTGTTGAAGCTGTTTTTTCTTTTTTGATGAATTTTCGCCAAAATTTATCATTTTTTTTATTTTCACTTTTTTTTGCAAAACAGAATGAAGCGAAATTTCGCGAAAAAAGCGAAAATTTACGAATTTTTCGCAAGGGAACGAATGCAAAAAAATGCGAAAATTTTTGAGAAATAATTTTTTTCGCAAAACGCGAAATTTTCACGCAACGATTTGCCTTTTAAGGCGAAAAATGCTAAAAGGAAGCGAAATTTTTTGCGAAAACCATAGGTATTGAAGCTGTTTTTTTCTTTTTTTAATGAATTTTTGTCAAAATTTATTATTTTTTAAATTTTTACTTTTTTTCGCGAAACAGAATGAAGCGAAATTTCGCGAAATAATAGAAATAATTGACTCTAAAATTTTTATTGACAAATTTCTATTGAGAAAAATACATTTTTCATTGTTTCTTCAATCTCCAGGTCATGAAATATCCCTGATCTGTGAGGATGATTTTCTATCCTTGTTTAAATCTTTTTTTCTCCTGGAACTATTTCGACTTTAGAGAAAATACCTTTTTTCTGGTTTCTTGAATCTTCAGGTCATGATATTTAAGGATCATTTTTGATCCTTCTTTAAACTCTTGTTTAAACTCTTGTTTTCCCTGTAAGTATTTCCCCTTTGAAGAAAAATACATTTCATTGTTTCTTAAATCTCCAGGTCATGAACTATCTCTAATCCTTGAGGATCATTTTCTATCCTTGTTTAAATCTTGTTTGCTCCGTGGGGTTTTTAACCTTGGGAACTATTTCCCCATTGGAGAAAATACATTTTTTCTTGTTTCTATTATACTTACCTGCACGATGAGGTACTGTAAAGTTGAACTGTTGGATATAGTCTAACCATCTCCTGATGGTGCCTCCACTATCCTTCATGGTACTCCAGTGAAGAACAGTGTTGAAATCAGTGATGACAGTAAGCTTGTTCAATGTAAAAGGTGAGAATATTTAGTTAATCTGTACACTAAAACTAACATTTCTCCTTTACTACTATGATAATAACATTCATAAGGCCTACATTTTTGGCCTTTTACACCTAGGAACCTTTCTGCTCCTTTCTGATCCTGTGACAATACAGCACCCACTGCGTGTTTACGAAAATCAATTGTTAGTATGAATGGTTTTGCATTTGGAGCACTGTGTTGCTACAAACATCTGTTTTAGAGTATTAAAATTATTAATCATATCCTCTGTCCAGGTTAAAGAAGGTTTACTCTTTACTCCATTAAAATTTGCAGTTACTGCAGCGAATACAGGCAAAAACTCTCTGTAATAACCAGAAAAACCTAAGAATGGTGATAATTCTTTGCTGGTGGTTGGCAGGGGACCACTCAGTTATGGTAATTGTTTGATCCTGTTCTTAGAGACCAAGTGTCCCAAGTACTCGACTTCTTGCCTAAAAACAAATGTTTTGTCTGCATTCAATTTAATTCCAGATTCTCTGTGTGCCTGAAAAACTAATTTAAGCAATTTAAGATGAGTTTCAGGATTATTAGCATGGAATTTCAAATTGTCCTCCTCCCCCAACATAACAACTAACCGAGCTGTACTAAATGACAATACCCTCTCCTTGCATTTTTCAAGCCAAAACGCATATGGGCAAACTGCCAGAGGCCAAAGGCTGTAGCAAATGCAGTTAAAGAACAGGACTTTTCTTCTATCGGAATTGCATGATACGCTTGAGCTGCATCTAAAGTTGAAAATTTTTTTGACAAGCTCAGCAAGTCTAATATAATGCTGATATTTGGGGTCGGATAGGAGTCTGTGACAGTTACTTTATTGACCTGGTCAACACACCATCTGATGGTTGCATCCCTCTTGTTCTGTTCATAATCAAGAACGTTTCCATTCCCGTTCCTTTAAATTATACATTTTAAATTTAGGGCTAAAAGAATAAGCTTAGATAATTTCTGGGCTGAGCAATGTATAATTTTGTGAGAGTGTTAAGAACACGTTAACGAGTCTAACCGTTCTTTTCAAGCAATTCCTGTTCCCTTCTTTTACTAATCATTCCAATATTTTTATGAACGCCTTCTAAGCGTTAGTTTTTTTTGGAACAATGGGATTGTTCTTGGATTGTTCCGTTTGTTCTCGGGAAAGAACGATCATTCCACCGGGAACAGGCCCAGCCCTAAGTTCAACTGCAATAAGGTATCATTAACCTTAGAAATCAGCTTTGCTTTTTCTCCCAATATTGTACTGAATGGGAACTCTACGAATGATTCTTCCACCTCAATACTGGGGTTGATCCAGTCCACTGCATTCCTTAATTGCACCACTTAAGTTTGCTGTGCTTTTAGGATTTGGGCTTCAGCCTGGTATTGCGAAAGCATGTTCTTTTTAATCTTTTCCTTGATCTGTACTTCTTCCGAGGTCGGGGCCGCTTCCAACTTTATTGACTCTGCTGCAATTATATCGGTAGGGTTGACCAGGGCATGTGTGGCTTGCCTGTGCTTGAACCAGGCCAGGTACTCAACCTCTGTTGCCTCCCCAATCTGGCTAGAATTAACTTTTAAGGGTGTACTTGAAAATTTGGGTGTGTCACCATATAGACTTAAAAAGAATTCAGTATTAAAAAGCCAAGATTGAGTGGAATAACAAAGCATGGTTTTACACACACTTTATATTTACATTATAACGATACAAACCATTATTGTTGGACCAAGTAAAGTTGATCTAAATATGCACGACATTTGCTTGTGGCTAATATATTTCCATTTGTCTCTTTTTATCAGATGCTTCCTGCTAACTGACTCCCCTATAGAACTCCAGGGCTAAGATGGACGACGATCTGCTTCCTCTGCCGGCAAGATAAATGCCATTCAACTTGCTATCTCTAGTTAAAGAAAGAAGGTTCAATACCCTTGTCCCTGTACACTATCACTCCTTTCTCCACCATCGATCCTTGCACTGCAGCCAGGAGGTGGCATCTCTAGATAAGAGAAGGTGTTCAATACCCTTGTCCCCCTACACTGTTATGTATTTAATCCTGCAAACTTATCCAGAGCTCAATACCCTTTTAGACTGGATCTAGATTATTTGGCTTAAATTGCATTTGTTATGTGCATAATTTCTCCGACTGGGAGCAATGAACTTAAATGAGACTATGTACATAGGGATGAGCCCTGATTGGGTTCACACTACATTCTCAGTTCAACTACCATTCCACTTCACTTCCATTAATTCCCAAAGTGTTTTGGGTAATCTTTATTTAGTTTGGAGAACGATTATTTGCCCGCTAGGTATCTTTCACTCTGGGAATTTCACGAATTTCTCTCCTTACAGACGCCATCGATATAAATAAAATGAGTAGCGATCAAATCCGAAAGTGGTTTGGGCTTTTATTTTTTTGCAAACATTCCCTTTCAATGATTTAATAGAAATCCTTTGAAATCAACATACAATAACTAATCTCCATATCTAGCAGAAATGTTAAAATTGTTAATAAAGTAGATAATATCTCAAATCTAAAATTTTACTTTAACCCCTTTAAGAATACTCGATTCCTCCCTAGAAAACCCCAAGTAACCTTAGAGGAACTGTACAGTGATGAGCTCTTTCTGATGTAAGATTGAAAGGTAGCAGAGTCCATGAGGTACCATCAAAGAGCTCCATCGTGTTTAGGTTTTCATTACTAAACACATTCTTTTCTAATGATCTCATAAACATGTTTTAATCTCACAAGATCCAAACAGGTAATCCTTTTTATATGAAATTTATCTTTAAACAAACGGCACTATCCTTATTATGCCTTAAATCTAGCAATTCCAAAATTAAAGATGCAAGAATGGACAATGTGTTTTGCACTATATTTTGGTCCTTTTATGATCTTTTTTAAATACCAGATACATAAAAACATCGAATTATACTTACTTAACACCGCCATATCCTCCTATAGCAATCATTTTATCTCCAAGCGTTGTCATGGTAAAGAAATATCTTTTGATATTCATACTTGCAATTTCTATCCAATCAAAACCTTCATTTTTGTAGCAATTATTTCTAAAAGAAAAGCCTTTGTTTTTGATTTGATTTGTTCTAGGTCAAAATTTAAATTAAAGGGTCTTCCACAAAGGATGAGAGTTTTAAGACAATTGTATACAGAGGCGGACTAGAGGGGGGGTGGGTATGGGCCCAAGCCCCCCCCCCTAATGAAATTCATAATGAAAAATAAAAGTATCAAGAGATGAAAAATACGACGAAAATAGTATTGAATAAATGACCTGAAAGGGTCTATTTACACTGTACAGTTGCTTTGTGTTATGGTTCATTGAACTAGGTTAAGTCCTAACATTTAAAGTCGTCTATCTATTTCTAAGTTTTTTTGTTATCACTGTAAAAATTTATTAAAAATGTAAAAAAAAGGATTTATTAAATTATTACTTATGCTTAATCGATCTCAATAAAAATGTTTTATTTTTTATATGTAAATCTCGAATTGTGATAATAAATAAGAGATTGGAAATTTATTGCTTTTTGTTCAATTTTTAAGGGGGGGGCCTTGGAAAAAAGGCATTTTATACCTACTGCATCCTTTGTGGGTAACCCTTGTAGCTTGTAAAAAAATTATTTCCTTAAGGTTTAGTAACGTTAGGTACACTTTTATATTAAAATATTTTGTAGGTGTAATTTCGCATACTACGTACTACCTTTTGCTAATAGGTAATATTTTCTATGAATAACTTTCTGTATATGTAACATTATGTAACGGTAACTCGGAGGGTAATTTTCATTACAGAGGACGTAATGTTGTGGGATCCTCATAAATAAAATTTTACAAAGTGGTAACAAACCATCTCTTTATGTCACATTTATAATTTAATTTACCTCGAAGGACCAGCAGTCCCACCGCAAAATATTATTTGTCCATTAAGAACAGCGGCTCCTAAATAATGGCTAAAAAGGAAAAGGTTTAATTAAAATTTATTTCGGTATCAATCAGTAATAACTTTTTTTTAAAAGGTTCTGACAGAATGAGATATATAGTGCAGAGACTTGTCAATAAAAGAACTGTTCGGTCAGCTCAGGTCTAGTCTGGCCTTTCAAATCTGTTATCGAATGCATAGAAACAATTTTTATGAATTTCTTTTTACAGCAACTTTTGACAAATAAAAGTATTGCTTATTGATACCGAATTAGATTCAGAACCATTACTATTTTTTATTTTTAGCTGACATTTCTTTGAGCATGAAAACTTGCGTTAATTTTATAAAAATGTAAAGAGGAGGTTTATTGATCTGATGAAAGAATTATTTTTGCATATGTTATCTACTATTTTCCCAAAGGCTTTTCCCATGGGCGGCTTCCCAAGTGACAATTTCCCAAGTGGAAAATTTCCAAATCTATATCTTCCCAAGCGGAAACTTCCCTTAAAGGTTAGGTTAGGCACCATAGGCTGAAAAGTGGTCGAGCACTGCGGCTAGGACAGACTTGAGAAGTGTTGTCGCTTGGGAAATTGCACATTTGGGAAGTTCCCACTTAGCAAAATACTCTTGGAAAGTTGCTGCTTGGGAAATTGCCTTTGGGAAATCACCTAACATCTTTAAACACTAAGCTTAAACTTCTAATATCTTTAAACACTAAGCTTAAACTTCTAATATCTTTAAACACTAAGCTTAAACTTCTAATATCTTTAAAATTCACCTAGTCCAATGATGTCTCCCACATCTCCAATTGCCAAATTACAGGGATAAGTTTCAGTTTTACCTTCTTAAAAAAATAACAATTCAAACGCAATTTTTCCAGAAGTAAAAATATGTGTCAAAGTTTTAAAAATCGTTATTTTGAAAAATAAAAATAAAAAATTATACTTGAACTTGATAATTAAAATAATAAGTCTTTTTTATTTTTCTTATTCTAAGTTTTAAGATTTTAAAGGTTAAGGTGTAGGAAATAATCACCAAATTCTCCACCAAGTAACACTGCAGTGGTCTTTCCATCTGAAGTCTAAAAAATGTGATATTTGAAATTATGTGTGCTGATAAACAAATAGTCTATATTTGGTCAACACCACGAATTAGCAACTGACACATGCTTGTGTTATCATATTTGATCATATATCTACAGTTGTTAGGGTAACCCAAGATTAAAAATATTGTTTAACAAAATATTTCCCAAGTTTAAGTAAGATTCAAGAATCAGGAGCTATTTTTAGGGACAAAAAATTGTAACAGGATTTTTCAGTCGTGTTTGAAACTTATGTTCTAAACAACTTTATCGTGGTTTTGATCATTTCTTTGTAGAAATCTGAACCTTATTAAAACACATTAACAATTCAAATAATATTTTTTTATAGTATGTCATGTTTTGGATAGTATACAGTGCGACACTAAAAACTCTGAAAAAAAGGCGACTAAAAGACTCTTATTTATGGCTGTGAATAGTCCAATGAACATAAGGCACAATAATTGCAGGGAGTTAAAACAGACCCATTTAATGAAATATATAATGTTTATACTACTGCTAAAATTGTTTTCTTTCTAAGACCAAATACACTTAATTTTTGCTTTAATTTCGTGTTTCTATTCCACAGTTTTCTGGTTCTCACTATAGCACAAATTAAAATGTTCTTTAGAAAGTTTGATTTTTATGAAATTACAAAAATTCATAAAATATGCACCTTGTCACAAATCAGATGCCCATTGACGATGACAATCATAAAGAGGTAGAAAATATAGCCTAGAATGGAACATTATTAAACATTATTAAAGCAAACCTAAAAAGTCTCTAAAGGGTTTAACCTGTTCTTTCCATCTTCCTGGCGTGTTGAAAGACAACTGTGAAACAAATACTTAATTCACTCCTTAAATACAAATTCAGGGGCAAAATTGCTGCAAACTTTCTTTGATCCCAACTCACTCACATAAATATGAACTGCTAAAACATGTGTAACTAAAATGTATTTTTAAAAATTATTTTTTTATTGTTCAGTTTACATTTTTTAACTGCCCCTGATAGAAAATAGTGAAATCCATACGTCAACAATCAACCGATGGAGGACGTGTTGCAAAGTTTGTTCATAGATAAAATAATAAAAAATAGAAAGAATAGGGGCCGTAGGAAAAGACGATAATATATATGATTATGATTACCTTTGTTTGTTTTGTTTGAAATCACGAGTTCTATATTTACGTGAATAGTCTTTATCTTTTGAGCCGTTCGGGCACAGTCACAGAATGTACAGTAATTTTTATATTTACACTTAACACATTTCACATTAAAAATCCAAAATCTTAATACATAAAAAAATTTGGCATACAAGGATTACAAAACGGCAGATTTAAGTAAAAAACTAGACTTGAAAAAAATAAAATTTAATTCTTATTATTTCCAATTAAAGTGCTTTTTGTATAAAAAATCTTTCAATAACTAGCCTGGACATTTACTTTTTGACCCTGAAAAGGCAAAGGGGTGGCTGGGGCCAGGGTTGGGGGAAGGACAATTTTGTCTCTCATTTCTGGAAAAATTGTTCTAAAACGTCTTGCCCTTTAAAGTGACCGGCATTGTATGGTAGTTGAACTGAGAATGTATAAGTACTAGGCTTCGGTCCCATCTTCTATTTCAACTTTTAATTGTGGCTTTATCTGTGAGCAAACAAACAAAAAGTTTGCGGATTTCTTAATATTTTTCGCGCATTTTTAAAATTTTACAAAAATAAAAAACCTTTTAAACACAAATTTTTTTAATTTTGATCATTTATAAACCCTCATTAAACGGCATACCCGATCGGTATGCCGTTTAATGGATACAAACAAACAAACAGACAAGCCAAATTTATATATAGATTGTGGAGAAATTTTTAGGATTCATTTGAAACACATATACATTTTTTTGATTATGTGTAACTACTGAGTTTGAGCGCGAAGTCAACATTCAAAATCATCTATTTGGGTTTTGAGAATCGATTTTTTTAAATTATTAAATAACAACGACAAAAAATGTATCAAAATTTTACATTAAACTAAATAAATGTTTAGTAACATATTTCTCAATACGAATAACGAATGCAAAAAATTTTGAGAAGCAAAATTTCACGCAACGATTTGCCTTTTAGCTTCAAACCCTAATTTTTTGTCGTCGTTATTTAATAATTTAAAAAAAATGATTCTCTAAAGTAACACCCAAATGGTCGATTTTAAACGTTGACTTTGGGCTCAAACTCATACATCATTAAAACGTTTTATATGTCTCAAATGTTTTATATGTCTCAAATGTTTTATATGTCTCAAATGTTTTATATGTCTCAAATGTTTTATATGTCTCAAATGAATCCTAAATAATTCTCAGCTTATCTACTATACATTGCCGGCCACTCCCTTTAAGAAATAGTAATTTTTGTAGAACTTTTATCTATATCCTGATTCTTGATATTTTAAATTTGTTGTCTATGATCTATGATCCTGGATTCTACGTTTCTGCAAAATGAACAATTTCGAACAGGGATAATCTGGTTTGACTATTTCCATAAGAATCTGCTTATATAAAGACGAGTTATCACGTTGAATATTTTATAAAAGCAAATCAAAATACTTTGAATCTGGCATAGTGTCTGTAATTTTGAATTTGAAGAAAACATTTTATGAAGTTCCAATATTACATTATTTAGACTTATTTTAAAGCGTAAGCGTAATTTCAAGTAACACGCCTTGCAAAACAGCAATGCCAGATTTACAAGCCTTAATTTGATATAAAACTTGGAACATGGTGTCGTTTTTCTGACTCGGAAGACAGCAATGCCAGATATACAGTGATACACTTTAAGCCTTAATTTGATCTAAAGGCGTCGTTTTTCTGACTCGGAAAGTATTTATTCTGATAATTTCTCCATTCTTAAAAGCAAAAAATGCGCAAGTGACTTTTACAGAAAAGCCACATGAGAAAATAAACAGTTTAATTGATACCTTATTCATCCTTGATAAACAAAGCTTTCAAGGGTACCGTTGTAAATCGGGAGTTTTTAATTGAGGATTACATACATACAGTTTACAGTCTCTATAACAGACAACCCAACAAGGAATATATAGTCCTTGCAACCTAAACTAACATTGTCCAATTTGGTTCAACTGGTGAAGAGTTTATAACTCTCTGTCTATTTACCACTGTCTAAATGTACAGAAATGAGGATGGTTGAATTATTAATATTTTGTTTTTGAAAATTGAGACGAAACGTTGTATTATAATGGAATAAAACGGGAAGCTTGGATTAATATTTGATAAGTATCAAGTTATGTAAAACTTAAAAACGATCGAATTGAGCCAAGATACGTCAAACTAAAATAAATTGCAAGTAAGTTTCAAACTCTTTTAAAGAACTATTAAATAAATAATAAAAAATGTTTTGAATTTCTTATATGTAACCGAATAAACTTTTTTCTCTCATACTTGCACGAAAAATCAAAACTAAAGAAACAACGAGGTCGTACAAGTAATGTCAATTGAATTTGACCTTCAATTCTCCTTTCTAGTTTGCAGAGAAGAGTTTGTTTTACTTCGTTGTCTATATGTATATAACAAAGGCAGCCGATCTAATGTAAACAAACATGAGTTAGTAAACTGTGAGTAGTATTAAATCTTGTTAAAAGAGATTGAAAAAGTTAAGGATTTTAGTTTTATACGAAAAGGACCTTATTACAGAGACAGTTTCAATCAAATTCAAGGTTATCCTACCCCCCCCCCCTAGATGTCTGTTTATTATTTGTGTTATTGTTTACAATCTTTATTATTGTTGTTACGAAAAAAACTAGTTATTCAGCAGTCCAAAAACGTCACAGCAAAGTGTACGGAAACCCTATCGCCCCCTCCTTCTATTCAATATCTCCTTGAGTCGGAATGACTTATAAGACATAGAATTAAAAACTTAGTTTCAAATATTTCCTTCTGTAATTACAATTTTTCGGTCCAAGCACAATGCACATTACAAACATACATAAATTCCTTAATTTTATAAATATAAAAAACTTTCAAATCAAATTGTTATAAGATATATAATGTTTAAGAGGACAGCAAGATGGTTGTACACATTGCTAAAAGACAAAGTAGTACGCAGTACGCATTTTAAGTACTGCATTCAATTTATTTTAAAACGCCCACAAATTAATAAAAAGAGAAATTACAATATTGTCATATACGTAAAAAGATTATTTTCATTTAACTTCTTGTTGCAAGATTTATTGTAATGAACTCGAACAATTCGGCACTTTTATCTACATATACTTCATCAAAGCCAGCAATTAAAAATAAATTGGAAATAGCTGTCGTTGAGACTTAATTGCAACTAAATTTTTCATGGAGTTTGTTTTATTAAACCGGAGCTGGGAACTTTTGAATGGTGGATATCGGGATTAATGCTTGATCCACTCTTTTTCTTAATCTCCAGATTAAATAATGCTTGTATTCCTCTTGTTATAAATCTCCGGATGATTTAACCGATCGGGATTAAGGATATCCCAATCTAAAGTTTTTAGTTCTGTTTAAACCGTATTTAGCGGATTTTCGTGATTAAAATAAGATATCAATGTTTATGTTTAATTTAACTGTTTTATTTTCATTTGTGACTTTTTTGAAAAAGTCACTTTCGCATTTTTTGCTTTTAAGAAACAATGGAGAAATTATTAGAATCAATACTTTCCGAGTCAGAAAAACGACGCCTTTAGATCAAATTAAGGCTTCAAGTGTATCGTTGTAAATCTGGCATTGCTGTCTTTGTATGGAGTGTCCCTATTTTATTAATTTTTATCCAATCAGTCAAACACGTTCCTGATCTCTTACAATAAACTCTAAACTAAACAATACCTTCTGTACTTCTTTTTCTTTCTTTAAGATTTAAAAATAGGAATTATTTTTAAAATTAATTGGAACGCTCTGTTGAAACTTTTTAGGTTTCGTAATATTTGAAGAAAAAAACTTCATCCAAAAATATTTTGTTTAACTCCTTTAACGATTACAAATACTTATAATTTTCAAATAAAAATGTTTATTTAATAATGAACTAGATATTATACATATATCAAAGAACACATTTGTAGGTTAATGAAAAAAAGGCGATAAATGCAAATTTTCATATGTCTTATTTTTTATTACATAACTGACTTAATAACATTTACAAGTATACTAAATGTTGTAATATGTAGTTTTATGATTACATAACTTATGAATCATGAATTGATAAATAAGTATTTTAATAAAACTAACTTTCTGACTCTTTTCTTTTTTTCATAAACAGACCGAGTACATCAATTGGAACTGGAAATATAATGGTAGAATTCTTCTCAGCAGATATAGAGTTCAGAGTCTGAAAAATATAGAATCATTCATTAGTCAACATAATATAACCCGTGCACCCTTATTGATAATGATAAAAATGATAATAATGATAATAATAGTATTTACAATAGCAATTGTTATAACTGTTATTTTGGTTCGCTGTGTTATACAGTTTTTAAAGCAAAAGTCAAAATATAAAGTCGATTTCAATTATATTTTCATTTCAATTGAAAATAATATTTTGGAAATATCCTAAAGTTTTTGGAGAAAATCCGGGAACCAATCATAACTTTATTGCACATGTGCTATAATTTACAACTAATTTAACTTTATAGCACAATGATTACTTTATAGCACGTTCATTATGAAATTCACGATGAAGTGAGGAAGAATTATAAAGTATACAATAAAATGTTCAAGAAATTTATAATCATATTTTCTTGTTATTTAGATTAGAAATTTCTAATATATCTGGTATGTGACTTAAAACATCTATGCAATTCATCTAATATGCAATTCATCTAATATGCAATTCATCTAATATGCAATTCATCTAATATGCAATTCATCTAATATGCAATTCATCTATTATGCAATTCATCTAATATGCAATTCATCTAATATGCAATTCATCTAATATGCAATTCATCTAATGTGCAATTCATCTAATGTGCAATTCATCTAATATGCAATTCATCTAAAATGCAATTCATCTAATATGCAATTCATCTAAAATGCAATTCATCTAATATGCAATTTATCTAATATGCAATTCATCTAATATGTAATTCATCTAATATGCAATTCATCTAATACTCAATTCATCTAATATAAAATTCATCTAATATGCAATTCATCTAATATGCAATTCATCTAATATGCAATTCATCTAATATGCAATTAATCTAAAATGCAATTCATCTAATATGCAATTCATCTCTTGCTAATGCCAATAATCATCTCTTGCTAATGCCAATAATATTAATTTTAACTTTAATAATTTATTTTAATTAAATTTTACAATATTTTTAAATTTTGATATGATATCAGATGGAAACATTTTGAGACTTCTATATTTCTTGCTTTTAATCCTTTCTTCTTGATCTTCCATTCCTTGTCCATCCTACAATCACACTATGGCTAATTTTGAAAATGAAAATAAATGAATTTTTTGGATGTTTTCTGCAGCTAGCCAAATTGTCATCTAATATGCAATTCATCTAAAATGCAATTCATCTAATATGCAATTCATCTAAAATGCAATTCATCTAATATGCAATTCATCTAATATGCAATTCATCTAATATGCAATTCATCTAATATGCAATTCATCTAATATGCAATACAACTAATATTCAATTCATCTAATATAAAATTCATCTAATATGCAATTCATCTAATATGCAATTCATCTAATATGCAATTAATCTAAAATGCAATTCATCTAATATGAAATTCATCTCTTGCTAATGCCAATAATATTAATGATCCACTTGAAAACTGAAGAAAAAAACTAAAATAAAAAGATAGGTTGTGAAAAAAGTCGAATTGTATATCTTTATCAAAATTAAACTATGCATTTACATAGATAAATGTAGGTTAGATTTAATTTTGAAATCTGATTTTCTTTTTTTACTCCACCCTTTTCTGCCAAAAGTATTCACACACTAAACCTTTTAAGTATTTTCTAGCTGAACAATGGAAAACGGTTTCATGATAATATAACAATGAGAAAATTCCCTTCACAATCAACACACCATGAAATGTTAAGCATAAAAATGAACCCCCACCCCTCATCCTCTTATCCTTACCCTGTGAAAAAATTCGTTAACTGCTAAAGAACTCTTTAACGTCACAGCTGTTAACGGTTAATTACGGTATTATCGGTTTAAGAAATCGTTAATGGCACAAAGCGCCGAAAAAAAATGTTAATTGTTTATAAAATTCTCAACATTTTTCTTTTAACAGTCAATGTTTATAAAGATGATATTATTTTTACTATTTTATTTCACTGGTAAGGATTAAAGGAAAACTAACATACTAACAAGCATACATCACCATGCACACTGTGACAATGTACAGTACAATATTGTGAACAGTACGAACATATGAGTTTGACAGTGTACATTAAAAATCAAGTGACAAACAGAAAGGTTTAATTTTAATTTATCCAAAAAAGCGACACTTTCTGAATCTTCTTTTAAATCTGAACCAGGAACTTTTCCATGTGGATAGCACGAAACTAACAAAAAGGGTTTAAACAGAAAAACAATGCCAGACTTATTATCATCCTTGTTTAATATAAAACTAGATTTTAGAGTAAAGTACATTTCCATAATAATACATTTGATGTGCGTAATTATAATAAAACAAGGTTTTCTTAATTTAATGACCTACAGATCCAAATTGGACAGCAAACGAGTTATCATATATTAAGGCAATATTACGCATAATGTAAAAGAAATTTCTTCATATTTGGTCTTCATTTGACTGATAAGTGCGTTTAAACAAGAGGTAAGATTTTTCAAGTTTTTAGCTCAAGAGCTAAGAATTGCACTTCATGAGCTACTTTTTGACAATAATTTTTTTTTGTTCGCTAAACAAGGAACAATTACTTTAACACTCTAATCAAAGTGGAGCATTATTCCAACTGACGTTAATTTTTAGTTCTAAGATACAAGTTAATTTAATGAACGTAATTACAAGTTTTATGTAGTTATGTCTATAATCGTAGTTAGATTAATCGCAATACAAGTTTTGCGTAGTTATTTTATTTGCGCATTTAGATTTACAGACAATGTACAACGTAATGTTTCTAGGTGTGTTCAGGGAGTGGGTACATTTGGTCAATTTGCATTTGGCCAATTTACATTTGGTCATCATACATTTTGTCAATTTTACATTTGATCAACCTTACATTTGGTCAATTACTACATTTGGGCAACTGTTACCAAACGTCAACTGATATATTTCATCCTACTATATTTGGTCAACTGATACAAACACATATAAATTTGGTCAATTTTGATTTACAAGGTTTCTACATCTATACATATATTTAGATATTGTATATGGTACAACTCAAATAAAAATTAGACCAAACATGAACTCTTTGCAGGTAGCTTGAGTATAGTTCTGGACAGATATCTGTAAGCCCTCCTGACATAAACACCTGCGACCTGACCGGCTGGGATTTGGATCTGTGTAATGTCCTGCAATCCCTGCAACCACTTCCTGCAGTTTAGTTCTTGCCAAGCTATCCTCTTTCTTTGAGCCATTGATAATTCTCCACAAATTATGGTTAGTTCCAGTCGTGTTGTTCCATCTACCATTCCATGACTCCACTCCATTATTTGTGGTGTTGTTCTGGGCTAGAATTGACTGATAAATGTGCCATATTGGGATGGGAAACAAAGGTGGTCTGTACTCTCCTCCTCTATTTAATTTGCCAATGTAGGTATTCTTAACATAACTAATACAATTCAAAACATATTCATACTCATGGTCAGCCAGGTTATCTTCATGATATTATAAGATTCAATAACTGATTCAAAGGCATAAATCACATAACATGACTCAAAGGCGGAATCATGCATAAAGTGTAAATCAGATCTAGTAGAATCTGAAAAAAAACTCATTTTCATCAAAGAGGCTCAAACAGCCTTTGTCTCCAACATTGGACAAAATGCTCTTCTTCCAATGGAAATTGCAACCGCGAACTTCTGTTGTAGGCAATTTAGACTTAACTTACTTGATCACAGCCTGCTCAAAGTCAATGTTTATTGTGGGAGAAGTGTACTGCAGCTCAAGTTTCAAGGTTTATAATGCATACTCAATTAAATTTGCTGACTTATTATGGAGAAGCATGTAGATACAGGGGAACAACTTATCATGAGATGATCCAAATACTACAGAGATCTGTGAGAAGTCCCGTGGCACAGTTGAAAAGGTTCCATCAGAGTTTTTCAGAGTTTTTCAGTATATTTCTGCCAACGTCAGACATGAATATTAGGACTACATTATCAGAATCAGCTCAGCTCAAACCAAAAACAGTTCCTGAGAGTCTGAATGTTTGTTCTGGTCGTTCATGTTCAGAATGTCATTAGCAGATGTAGGCAATCTGGCTTCACCAGTGGCAGTACAATGTATAATATACCTACCTCTGTATATCATCTGTTTGATAGTGCTCATCCTCGACATGGATGATGCTGCTGCCATCCAATAAGTCTGGAGGGTGTTGGCTAGCTCCGCCATGACTGCCCTGCAGGTTAAGGTTGGCTTCCTAATTGCATTTTCAACAGCCTCCTGCTCCACCACTTTAACTCTCTTCTCAACCAACTTACTTGAGTGGTTGTGAGTATTTTTAACATTTTTGGTAAATGAAGCATCATTCTTTCTATGGTGGAAGCAGTTGCAGTACATCCCAATAAAGCACGTAGCCTTCAAACCCAGTATATGGCACCAGTCTCACTTTCACGTTCAAACTTGTACCCAAAGTTCTGACGATCTACCAAAATTTTCCTTTTCCTGCTGGACAAGATGAAATTAGCACGAGCCCAGTTTTCCATGTTGAATCTGAGAACCAACTGAAATCTTGAGTTGACCAAATTTTAGGCCATTGTCACAGTTGACGAATTGTATTAATTGACAAAATGTAAATTGCTCAAATGTAGTAATTGACCAAATGTAAGGTTGACCAAATGTAAAATTGACAAACTGTAAGATGACCAAATGTAAGGTTGACCAAATGTAAAATTGACAAACTGTAAGATGACCAAATGTAAATTGACCAAATGTATTCACTTTGTTTTAACTGAATAGTATCTAATGCTGCTGTTCTACCTGTAAGTATCTAAGCTGCAATGCGGCTGAACCTTCGGAAATCATGTTGGATGCTTCCCGCAAAGCTCTGCTTGCCTTCTTCTCCCCCTCTGCAGCGATCACCTAGATTATTGTCAATCTAAAGAGATTTCCACAGAAATGTCATTCAATGCATTCTGATGAAAAATCCATAGAATTTGCAGGATCACAAAAGTAATCTCAGCTCTAGATCAAACGGTTCATCAACAAATTTTACAAGAACTCTTTATATAATTTTAAAAAATGACTAGTCGAAGCCTAAAAAACCCAACTTAAACATTTAATTCTATTTTCTTGACGAAAAAATTTAATTTAGTCAAAAATCGGGGTTAATCATATTGCCTTTTTTTGTGCTTTATTGTAAACATTTTTTCAAGAAGTTTGTAGATCTTAAAAACACTCTTAACTTGGTCTTTATTTTGATAAAATTTTATATTTTTAGTTTTTTATTCCTAATTAAACATTTTTTTACATTTAGGAATAAAAAGTAATACAGTTGTACCCTTAGAGCAGCGTTTTTTAAGGATGTTTTGATTTCTTCCCTGTTACATGTAAAAATACATTGCTGATATAAAGATTAGTTTTTTTAATTATCACCTATACCTAAAAAGACAGTTTTTTTGGCGACCACCCTTTAGTATGAGAGATTTCCAGAAAAGAGAGTAAGAGATAAGAGTTCTAAGATTGTGAGATCTTCCACATATTAAATATCTTTGGTCCGATCGTACACAATTAGCACAATCATTGCACTGGACAAGGTATTCAAGGACTCCCAGCAGGGTTCCTTGGGGACCTCCTCCAGGCATGTGGTAGGTAGAAAAAGTAGTTCCATCGAACTTCACCATCATTTATCGGTCCTGAAGGAACTGGTCAATAGATGCGCCTTGAATATTATATTAAATGGAACTTCGAGTTCTTGTCATAAACACGATTTTCCTATTTTTGCAATTTGATGGTATAAACAGTTTAATATTTCACACTTTAAATATTTGATTTATCAGAATTCACAGTTTAAATATCAATTGTATATGACATCGGGTTGCAAAGATATAAGGGTAATAAAACATAAGAATTAAAAAGAATCCAGTTCCTTTAGGACTTGCATTCTGTGAAATTCGTTGATTTAAGTCGAATTAGCATTTGGTTCCTTCACTTTATTTCAATGTTAATCAACACGAATCATTAGTTGATTGAATTTAATTACTTAAGTTTAGATGGATCCTTTTTATAATCTTTAATACATCTGCTAATACAAAAAAGATTAAATCAGATAAGATTTTAGTTTAATCCAAAGTTTTCTGCAATCTGGGACCGAATTTAATGACTTTGATCTGCGCCGCTGAACTATCTAGTGCCGCGTCGGTTCAAATTCGAACAACCTTTTCAAAGTTAAAGATTAAGGTAGGATTTGAATTCGTGATTGAAATTTAAACCGTGCAGTAGCAGTTCAAATTAATTTAATTCGATCCCTGTAGAATTCCATTTGAAGAACTTGTATTGAATCAAACTTAGAAAAAAACGTTATTAAGTTAAAATATTTACAACAAAAACACAGGTTAAAGGAACTCGCTACAAACTACAAACTTAACTTTTTAAATCCCTTTATCGTTCCAACCTGAAGATATTTAGCTCTGATATTTCAAAATTTGACTTTTGGGCTTGTAGAATGTAGATTTCATAGTACAGGTGACATTAGTTCGAAAACTAACACTTGAACAATAGAAAGACTGGGGTTTTAGAATCCCGGGCCATATTGAGAGTAAAAGTCGAAAGTAAAAAACTAAAAACAACATTTTGAAAAAACGATTGTTTTTGAAAAAATTGTCGCTAAAATAAATATGAGTTTTTCTCATTTTTTTAAATTTTGTAATATCAATACATTTCCAGTAGCATTAAAGTATTTTTCAAACATTTAAAAATGATATGTAAATATCATTTCAATCCAAAAATATCGTTTTTTTTTAAATTATCTGCCTCTTATGTTATTAATGTGAGAGAATATAAAATATTATTATTACAGTGCTTTTACACTGAAAAAAAAATTAATCAATTCAGTGTGATTATTAGATTGAAACATATATCAAATTGTTAAATTGTTATGTTATATAAAAGAACTTAAACATGTAACGTTTTTTATAGAGATTAATTGTGCAAGGTATAAATTACGTGCAAGGTCTAACTTTAAAAACTATGTGGTTTAGTGCTACATGGTTTTAAGATCTGCATTCTTAAGTAATATGATGTAAAAATGCGTTAAAATTATTCATCAATTTATTGCTTCATTTTCTTTCAGCTTTCGTAAAAGAATCAAAAATTCAAATTTTGATCGCAACAAGGTTTATTTCGTCATTTTTAAAGTAAATATTTCAAATTGACGATTGTATGTGTAAGTTTGAGTAAAGTGGTACTCAAAACTTGAAGCAAATTGGTCGACTATGAAAATCACCTTTTCAAAAATACCTAGAGTATTAGGTTGAATGGTAGCAAATCTTAAACCCCGGGCTTAATATTTGACTTAGTATAGTCATCTTTAATGACATCCCTAGAAGTCTGATTTGATTAGTTATTGGATAATGGTAATGATTAATAATTATGACATGATTGTTGTAGAGATAATAAATTCTACACGACATATCGTTAAAAAAGGACTGTTGTAATCAAATGTACGGTCATTATTAAGAAGGCTCGTTGTTGTTAATGATCGTTAACAAAGGGTCGTCGTGAACGATCGTTAACTAAGGGTAGTCGTTAACGGCCGTTAACGAAGGGTAGTCGTTAACGGCCTTTTAATTGAAAACGATCGTTTGGTTTTTAGTTTTTTCGTCGTCGTTTTCATAACGAAACGATCGTTTTCAAAAAAATGAAAACGATCCATACCTATATATCTACGCCATAAGATTACAAGAAAGATAAGGAAAATGATTTTCTGGAGAGTTATTAGTTCCATGTTAAGTTTGAAATGCTAGAAAAATGAAAAATTGATCATTAGACTAAATAATTTGGGTTGACCTTGTAAAAACTTAGAATGCTGTTTTCTAGTGATTTCTTTAGAAAACCAGGATTCCATTTATAATGGCATAAGAATATAGTTTATTATTTACTATAGACATGTATACAACTCTGACACCTTAAGAAACCCATAAGAACCAGATATATTAATATATACACTGTACTTGACAAATAATGCTCACAGATAGGGATGGGAACTATGTGATTTTTCAACTACGTTACACCAGTCTCTCACAGTAGGCTGATTTTTATTATTCTACTTTCCTCTCTCTAAAAAAGAATGGATTAAAAAATCCTTTGAAAAATCTGTTTAAAAAGACAAAAAACGTCTATAAAATGCATCAAACGATTACTGAAACATAAAATTAAGAGACGGTAAAATTAAAATAAAAAATTTTAAGATTTTGCAGTGAAACGCTATCAGAAGGTTTGAGACGCTATCAGAAGGTTTGAAACGCTATCAGAAGGTTTGAAACGCTATCAGAAGGTTTGAAACGCTATCAGAAGGTTTGTAAAATATTGAAAGTAAAAACAACCTGGCAGTATTTAGTCGCTTCAGACGCACATTTAGATACAAACAAAATATTTTAATTGGTGATTTTATAAAATTAAGGCAACGTCCATCATTAATGATATGCACTGGACATTCAATGCACAGGAGACTGGAAGATATATTTTCCTTGAGATTTCTACCATCCGACTTCAGCCTTCTTTAATATACTAGGATTTCAGGAAGCTTGGCGCCACTTTTCTAGTAAAAATATTAGTTTTTTAACGTTACTTTTTTAGCCTTTAATTCTTTCATATTAGTAGGGAATGGATTTCTTAAAAAAAGTCAAAATCAACCTGTTTTCAGGCAAAATTGATCATTTTCTTCGTTGTCTTTTGTACTTTAGTAAGCATGTAACTTTTACAGAGGACCCACATAAAAGGAGTTGTTTTTAAATAGAACAATAAAGATATCTTCGTCATATTTGGGAAGATCAATGGTTAGATGATACCGTTGTGAAAAGGGCATGCCTTTTTTGATTGGAAGGTCAAGCTACGCCAACATACCCTTTAACTGACAATTTTGTTCATTCAAATCGGTTATTCTGATATCTGACAAGTTAGAACTGTGGTTGATTTCTCCAATCTTGAAATATTAAACAACCCAAGCAAGCTGGAAAAACCCCCCCCCCACCGCCCAGAAACAAAAGAAAAGAAAAATACAAATTATTCGTTAAGAATGTAACTTGATTGTAAAAGTCACAATTGAATTAACTTAGAATCTTAAACGAACATTCCCGTGGGTCTCCCGAGTTCCCCAATCAAAATTTCAGACAAATCGGTCCAGGGGTTCCTATGTTATGATCGGAAAAACAAACAGACAGACACCATAACAGAGATTACAACTTTATATATATAGATGACAACACAAAGTCACAAGTCACAAATGAGAAATAAATATTAATATCAAAATGATTTAAATTATTTTACTAGACAAAATACTATGTAATATCACAAGCTATTTCCTTATAGCTTGGGAATCCAGATTTGCCTGGCGTTTTCTCCACAAAAGTCAACCTACTTAACTTAAAACTGTTAAACCAGGGTAAGAACATTACTATAGTTCTACTACTTAGTTTCCCAATCAAAATTTGAGGCTAATAGATCCAGAGGCCGAATTTAAGTCACGCCTTAAGTCCGCGCCAAAACCCGGTTTAAATTGAGCGCCGGCTTAAATCTTGAAACATTTGAAACAATTTTAATAGAAACCAACCATAATTAAGCCACGGCTTAACTTTAAACCGCGGCTCAAATTCTTTAAATTCGGCCTCAGATAAGTTATGATCAGACATCCAAATAAACAGATACACAGAGATTAATACAATACTAGAATAGCTTGGATACTCTATAAAAGTTACTGACGCAACTGAGAACTTTTAAACCAAGATAAGAACATAGGCCAGGGTGTTAATGAGTTATGATCGAACATACAAGCAAACAAAGCATACACGCATATTTAGATAAATTTTTAAATAGTTGTTCATGATATTGTTACTTCCAAAAATCGACACCATGTAACTTTATTTCCATTTACAACAGATAACTCT